AGTTTAGAAGTTCATACATGCTTCCCTGCACCTCAGACCAGCTGGCGGCTTTGCTCTCAGCTCTATCCCCTGATGGCTAGATCAGTGCCTATGGAGTCAGAATTCACACATCTCCCTAAACTTCAGACCAACCAGGCCTTCCTCTTCTTTTTCTCATCTCAAGGTCAATGGGCATCAATGGCATATGGCCAAACTCAGCCTGTATTTTCATTGCTGCATTTCCCCCACTTCCACTCTCAAGTAGACCCAGTTGGCCACCAGCTCACAGGTTCCCTTTGAAATTCAGTGCTTATGACCTTCTTGCCTGAATTATTTCTGCCAAGAAATAAAATCTTAATCTAATTGGTTCTCCATAGTAAGTAACTATTTGGATTTCCCAAGTTTTTATCAGGATTATTTCATTGTCTTTGGTTTGGAAATTTGTATTATAATATGTCATGGTGATTTTCTTTAGGGGTTTACACTGTGTGGAGTTTGTTGAGCTTGTTGAATGCATTGTTTTCTCGATTTTCATGATATTAGGGAAGTTTCCAACAACTTTTACAATTTTCTGTGTATGTGTGGTTTACTTTTGTGAAAATGTTTGCTTTCCAGTCACTCACAAATTATTACTGTTTTTTTTTTTAATTGGGAATTATATGAAGTTACATGGGAGAACATTAGTTTTACATTCATCCTGTTGTATACCATTTCATTGTCAAGGTTACAATCCCCTCTATGCGTCATCAACCAACCAAAGGGTATACCCTGCAAGCCTGCCCCCACCCCAATCATAAGCACACAGAACTTTTCCCTTTCTGAATCTCAAGTCCCCAGCAGCTCCATCTCTCCATGTCATCATCTCTCCCTACATCTCTGGCATCACTGCTTCTCTGGGTAGGGGTCCTGCTTGCCGCTCTTCTCCCATGATGGTCCCAGGGACCTCCACTCCTAGACTGCAAAGTTCGTCACTCCCCTCTTTGCTACAAAACATCTACCTTTACATTTCCAACCCTCACAATCAGTCCTGATAACAATTATTCACTATTGTATCACAAGAGACCTATCTGCATTTCC